ACATAAAACGAAGCAACTTAAACAACTTACATTGAAAGAAATGTTTAATAAAGTAAATAAATATTAAGCTTTTTTTTTTTTTTTTTTTTTTTTTTTTTTTTTTTGTAAATTTTGATACCCTTTAGATCATGATTGTTCTTTATTTCATAAATTACGGTTTCATATTTTTAATTTTAGAATTTCTGCATGCCATCTTACGAAATTTAAACTGATGATCTATAATCCGGAAAAATCGATATCCGGAATCGCCGAAGTCCCGACGAGTCCGGATTAACGACTTTTGACTGTACCATTAATGCACAAAGTGTTTCTTTTTTTTAAAGTTTGTTTATTTTTTATTTTGTATATAAAATATGTATTATAGAATTTTCAGTTCTTTTTTTTAATTTTTATTTTTATTTGATTTTCATACTTGGATTAATTAACGGCCAGTTATAACGGAGATCCGGTTAAACAGAGGCTGGTCAAGAGAGAATCTATTTGCAATCATGCAGCAGTTGCCTTAAACATAGTGACACATTGGTGTGGTTATGAAAAATTATCTTCAGTTTCCTCTTCATTTTTTATGAAATTTTCTGATTTCTGATAGATAATGCTTCCCTGTGATTATTTTTCTATGCCGAATGTAATGTATTATCAACAGCTATCTAACCTCTCAGACAGCACTGGTCATAGATTCCAACTGAAGCATTGTCATAATGATGTTAAAATCTTTAGATGATTCATTTTTATGTCTTATTTAACATTCAGGATAGCTGTCAGTCTATGACAATAATTTTGTCACTCTGTTCTATCAGTTGTTCATGTTGATGATTTTAATAAACACTATGTTTTATTTTCTTATAACACTTTGTGAATCAAAGTCTACAGTATATTTACAGAATTTTTGGGATTTATATTAATACCATGTTAAATCTCTCTTGTGACTTGTCACACTTAGTTGTGGCCACACCCTTCACTCTCTCAGAGCTGAAACTTTTTATTGTTTATAAATGGATGGCATAGCAACCTGTCTTTTTTTGTCTTGAAATATTTTTTACAAATTGATTCTTTGTTACCAAAATACACTCTACTAGTCATCTATTGACTTCACTCTTCTTTTGCAATCAGTCACATTTCTCTGACATCACTCTTCTTTTGGAAAGAATTATAAATAATTTCATCTGCAATTGGTGTAGGTGGAGGACTGGAGCATGGATCATTTAAACAGAAAATTCTGTTGGCTATTTTGCAGCAGTGAAGCTATGGTGCTATCTCCTAACATCTCCATAATTGCTAACTCTCCCAGTTTATCTCCTGTTAGTTCACTGATTCACACTGTTGTTTTATTTTTAGCTAAAGGAAATGTTTCTCGGCAATAAATGAAACTTAAATTGTGTCTTACTGAAAATTCTCCCATACTTAGTGTGTGATTTGAACTGTCTTAATCTGCTGTAGGCATTTGTAGAACGGAATTCAGCAAATGTTTAATCAGTTAATATTCCTATATAATTTTCTTTTGTACATGGTACATTATTAAAATTCATTCTCATTTATCTACATTTAATATTAATTTTATTTTCATTGAGTTTAAAAGTAATTTGATAAATAAAATTTTTCTTGCCTACTCGAGATTTTCTCAGATTAAAAGTTTAAGAGAATTAGCCAAAGAGCATAAAATTTAGAACATCTAATTAAATAGTAATATATTTTACATCAGAATCTTTAAATAGTTAAGTAACTTGAATTATACTAGTGAATTCAAGCTGATTTGGAATTTTTTTTGAAATGGCACTGCCACATGACAAGAAAAACCTACCAGAAACTCCCAGTTTTCCTTTCAGTCACCTTTCATGTACACTGCCTTCCAAAACTTAACAAACAGCATGTTTTCAAAGCTCACCGTTACAAAAATGTCATTTAGCATTAGTAATTATTAAGTAACATTTAAATTCACAGTTAATATGCATGATAGTAACAAAGCTTAAGAAAATATATGCAGAAACAATAGCTACCATTTTTATTATATAAAAATTAATATATTATGTAGAAAGAGTTGGAGAAAAATGCAAAACCTTTAAGTTTTCATGAGTGTTGATTTTCAATTGTTATTAGCAATATCGTTCACAGTATCCTGGACAATCTATCAATGTCCAAGAAATGTTATTTGCCCAATTCATTGAGGTGGTGGGTGATCAGATGGATGGAAATGGGGATGTCACAAGCTGATGGCATTTGCTAGGCATCTCAGTGTCGCTCGTAGTGTGGTCTGTCGACTATGGGATCAGTTTAAATCTGAGGATTCGTGTCTAGAAGACATGTACCAGATAGACCAAGTTACAACACTTGTGCGAGACCATTATTTAGCTCTTTCGGCCTAAAGGAGGAGCAATATTACTGTGCCTCAGCTCATGTTATATCATTTAGGGGCAACAGGAACAAGAATCTCAAATACTACAGTGCGCAGATGGCTGCACAATACAGGTCTGTATGCAAGACGACCAGTTGTTTGTGTCCCCTTGACCCGAGGACATAAAGGTGCTCGTTTATGTTGGCAAGATAACACGTCTCCTGAACTAATCAGCACTTCACAGACAAATCCAGGCTAACAATGGAGAGTGATTCAGGTCAACCAATCCTGCCTTGTGGAAAGACACATTTACAGAGGTGGTGGAATAATGGTTTGGGCTGGAATCTCTCTCAGTAGTCACACTGACCTGCATGTGTTCCATGGAGGAACTTTTGACTAGTGTGAGATACCAAGATGAGATCCTTGATCAATATGTCTGCCCATATGCCGCTGCTGTTGGTCCTGGATTTGTTTTGATGGATAGCAATGCATGACTATACTGAGCTCAGGTTGCTGAAGAATATCTTGAGGGTCACAATATGAAGCAGATGGAATGGCCAGCTCAATTCCCAGACCTGAATCTGATGGAGCATCTTTGAAGCTAACTTGGGGAAGAGGTTGCTGTTTTGAGTCCTCCACCAAAGCATTAGATAAACTTGAACAAGGATTACTCCATGGCTGGTCATTGTTTCCCATTTCAGTGGCCAACAGCTTGGAAGCATTGATAGCATGGAACATAGCTGATGCCAATGTATTGTAGCTAGGAGTGGACACATTCCTCATTAGAATAATGGGTACTTATTTATGTATTAATGCCACACCGCAGCTGCAGATTTGGCAGTTTTTAAGTGCTGCCAATCTACACCTAAAATTTTTGCGACAAATCATAAATCAAAACACTTTATTTAAAATCAAAGTAGTCAATCGGATTTCGGTGGAAAAACGGTTTGATACAGAGTTTAACATAGATTCAAAACAGTCTCTGTTTTCTTTGACCTGATGCTGTCACCATATGAACTCTGCTAAATAAGATTCTAAATGATGTCTCGCTGTTCCCCTATGCCTCTTGTTCATCCATTTAGCACTGCCCTGCATTCTCTCAACTGTTTGCGTATGAACTCCTATATCAGGATCAATAAAATTGTATTTATGATTAAATTTAGCATGTAAAAATACTTTTTCTATTCTATTTGTTTGGTAACCTTTCCAACTGTCAGAATAAATTGTGCTACCATCTGCAATGTTTTCAATAATTTTATTAAAAAGGGTAGAGCCACTTCTATCAGGAACAGTGACAACAAATGAATCTTTTGTTTCTCTACATATACTACCAAACACCCACTGTTTGGGTAATATTCGATCACAATTATTTTTATGCTTATTTCATCAATTTCCACAATGCAATCTGGTCCACCTACCTTCTTGTTTGGTTTATTCTCCATATCCAAGACACATAATTCACACATGTAATTGTTCCAATGTGTAACAGTTTTATCCAATAAATCAAGTTGCTTTTCACAAAATTTAATCAACGTCAACTCCCCGCACCAGCAGTATATGAATCTCAAAACTGAACAAAATGGAATTCTGCTTCTTTCAAACCAGTTGTCTTTCCTAAGTCCTACTTGCTGATCACACTGTCTTAAATTACATTTCCAAAACGTACGTTTACCAAGATAAAGTTTCATATCATGCGAATTTCGTTCATACATTTTTGTTTTTTTGGTAAAATATTTTGCTCCTGAAAAAATAAAATTGCATCTTCTTCTGTGTTTGGCAAATCCCAAAGACGCATTTTTGTAGCACTAAAAAATGGCGTCAAAAATCAGCAAACAAGACGACAAAAAGGAATCCAAAAGATAACTGCGTGTGAACAACAGGATTGCTCTTTATGGGCGCAACTTCTGTTGCGGTGGCATTAATACGCAAGTACCGAATAATGTTACCATCACATTTTCCCTCAAAAAACTGCAATGTATTGTTTCTCCAAGACTAGATTTCTTTGTTTAGAGTGTAGTTTTTTGTTGTAATTCACGTTTGTGTTGAACTCTAGAAACATTCTGTGTCACATTCATTAAAGAACTGTTTAGTAAACATGTCTTGTAAATTTCTTGATTCGGTGTTGCTTCATTCTTAAATTAGACCCCCCCAAAAAACATGCCGTTCCTTAACTTTTGGAGGGCAGTGTATATTTTAAATTGTGAAATTTGTCAAAATGAGTAATTTACAAATGCTTTTATTGGAAGCAAAGTGATAAGTACAGAGTTAAGTTTTTGTCAAAATTTAAATACAAAATAGATCTATTTCCAATTGGCATGATTTTCAAAATGATTAATAATGATAAACATAATCTTATTTTTACAGCAGTACTATGCCTCACTTTTCATGTTTCCTAAAAGAATTTCAAGTGAATATTTATCAGTAATGCATCTTTACTGCAACAAAATTTAATGATATGTTTAGGAAATTGCTGATATAGAATGCCTTTTTGCAGTTCACTAAATCATCATTTTGTGTTGCATAGCCAATATATTATTTTTGTGCGTTATATAAGATACATTTTTCTCATTAATTTGTTTGTATTGAAACTTATTTAGTTATATTAAAAAAAACTTTAAAATTATTATTCATATGAAAATGTACTTTTTCAAAATTTGAAACTTTATTTCAGGTGCTTAATATGCAAAAATGGTTGTATTGAAGATATTAGCATGATTTTATTAAGAGATTGTATTAAGAGAATCAAGGCAAAAAGGTAATAAATTGTTATTATAATATAATATTCATAATATATTCTGTGTGACTAAAGTGTTTCTCTGAAATGTATGTTTGTCGGTACTCCCTTATCATAGCAGCCCTCAAAATTTAATCGCTAATGAACCGAGATGTAACATGTAACGAAGTATAAGAACATGAAGTTAGATATCTTGGTTGGTTGGATTTCTGTTTTGGGGGCCCCATTTCTGTGTTACGTATTGTTTCTTTGAAGTGCATGCATTTTAAAAAATGAATGCTTTGTTTAGTTCCAATGGTCGTACAATTTTTTTTTTGAGACAGATCGTTAATAATAAATAATAAAGAAGAATAAACATTATTTTGTTTTTGGTTGCTATGGGTTACCAGACTGGCGGCTTAAGACGGTCGATACTAATGACTTCTTTTTCGTTTACTATAATTTTAAATGTTTTTTCGTTTCGAGCTAGCACTTGATGGGGCCCTGAAAATTGTGGTACGAGAGAAGGCTTTAAATCATCACATCTGAGAAAAACATGAGATGAGTTTCTAAGTTCTTTATGCACGAACCCGAGTTTCAGTTCAGTTCATATTACTTAAAGTATTGGTTTCATAAAGCAATTAATTTGATATTAATACAAATGCTAGACATTTGGCCACAGCACTTGATGGGGCCCTGAAAATTGTGGTACGAGAGAAGGCTTTAAATCATCACATCTGAGAAAAACATGAGATGAGTTTCTAAGTTCTTTATGCACGAACCCGAGTTTCAGTTCAGTTCATTAACCCGAGTTTCAGTTCAGTTCATATTACTTAAAGTATTGGTTTCATAAAGCAATTAATTTGATATTAATACAAATGCTAGACATTTGGCCACAGCACTTGATGGGGCCCTGAAAATTGTGGTACGAGAGAAGGCTTTAAATCATCACATCTGAGAAAAACATGAGATGAGTTTCTAAGTTCTTTATGCACGAACCCGAGTTTCAGTTCAGTTCATTAACCCGAGTTTCAGTTCAGTTCATATTACTTAAAGTATTGGTTTCATAAAGCAATTAATTTGATATTAATACAAATGCTAGACATTTGGCCACTAAGCCATTAGCCTTGATTTTGCTTCTGAGTACTTAATAAAATTAAAAGACAATAGTGCAGTGCATTTGTCAGTATGCTTCTTATCCATAGACTGTCTAGAGTTACAAAGACTACATACAGAAGAATCCTTAAGTCGAATTTAAAAAAGTTGGGCATTCAGACAATTGTGCCCAGTCAAAAGACGAAATAATTCCTTGGCTACAGAACGAGTAAAATGTAGATTAACTTGCTTTGAACTATTGAGATGCTCCCAGAGCTTTCCCTTACCTTTTTGATAGGTAGGAGGCAAACCTCCTTTTAAATTCTAATTTAATTAGGAGTTTTGCGGAATTAAAAGGTTGTACAATTATTAGTGGTTTGTAGAACAATAGGTTCCTTTCTTTGCCAGGAAATTGGCTCTTTCATTTCCCTCGATGCCACAATGAGTGGGAATCCACTGCAAGACAGTTGAGTTGGCCAGAGTCGAGAATTTTCCTACATTCTTGAATTCTTTCAAAAGTGCAAAATTTATTGTTGGAAATAGCCTGCAAAGCAGTTTTGCTATTGGACTAAATAAATTAATTTGATATAATTTATTTGAAAAAGCAAATCCTTTTATTTTTTCATTTGATTTTTCTCAAGGGGTAGAATCTGATTAATAAGATTTATTAGTAGTAGAGAAGCATCTGCCTTTTTTGAAGAAGACAACTGCTTTACTCTCAAATTCACATAATTCAGCAAATATGAAATTGACAAATTCACATCATTTGACAGTTGTTATCCAAAGTGTTAAATATGTTAAAAACCAGTTTTCATTATTTTATATCATTTAACTTATTTTATATTGCAAATGAATATACAATTTAAATTTCAAAAGTAATTTTTAAACTTCACCTAATTTATGTAATTTTTGGAAGCAGAGTTAGATCTATGGCTAGTTATTCTCATATTAATTCAAATAATATCTAATCGCTGTATAATTTCCAAAGTTGACAGTTTACAGTTAAATTGCTTAAATAATATTGTGATTATGTTTATTACTTTATTATGAAAGAATTGTTATCACATACATATGAATGCACCAAGATCAACTGCCTGTTTGCTAATTCAGAATTTCAGTTTACATATGCATGTTAGAGAATCAATTTGAAATTTACAATGTATGTTTGAGAAAAATTCAAACTGATGAAAATATTTGTGTTATCATTTACATTTTTTGAAAAGTTTAGTTTAATATTGTATACAAACTTGTAGTTATTATATTTTACTGTATAAGAAGTATCTGAAATAAACAAATTTTGTTAGCTCTTCGTAATATCGTCATACATTTCTTTTGCTAATATATATAGAATTATATAACTAAATTGTGCGAATATGAAACTGAACTGTAATTCCTTGAATCTATACCAAAATTACATTGTAACTGAAGTTTCTGATTTAGATCCATTTTGAATCAAATGGAAACTACTTTGGTCACAGAGATCCAATTTAACTATTGTATTCTATGTGTTTAGAATTTGTATATTATGAAATATTAAGCTAAAAATATTTTTTAAGCATATGTGTCCATGATAACAGTTTTATATTGCTGTGTTACAAAACTAAATTTCTTCTCAAATTATCTGATGTATATTTTCATTGGTTTCACAAATCTAATTTATTTTATTAATTTAATAAAATATTGTATTATCATAATTATAATTGGCCTGTTCAGAGCATTACCAAAATTTGGTAAATTTTCCGTTTTGCCGCTGCAGGGGATAAAGTCACCAGTAATAGTACAACTGATGCCAATTGTTGTACCATTACTGGCGACTTTGCTGGTATGACTTTGCTGGATGATTGCTGGTAACCTTTCATGCCTCATTTTCAAAACAAATCACAGCCATTTCTGTTGTTGCAGATTGATTGTTTCTTTCAATACTGGCATACAATTACGTATGATTTTTACCAGATAGTTCAATTTTATGCCCTAAGGCCATTCGTGGTAATTAAGTCAATTAGGATGCAGTCACACCGTTCAACCGAAGGCGAAAATATAGAAAAAGCAAAGTCCAGAGTTAAATTCATCCATTCTAATGAGAATGCACTAGAGAAGTAAAGAACTGCGGTTTTACATAATTTCTGAGTAAGCTATTCGTATGAATTGAAATAGTTAAAAATTGGCGATTTTTTTGCCCCATTCTTGTTTGCATCCAATGCCCTCCCCAGTAAAATGGCGTCCAAAATATAATGCAATAAACCATAATTAACATAAAAATATATAATCTCAATAAACTGCATTTTAAATCAAACAACAAAATAACATAAGAATGGAAATGCATGTTATGCAATCTACGTAATAAAAAAAGGAAGTATCGACTTAACTTTATTTGAAAATTTTTGTTTCTTCAGTATGCGAGACACACAGAACTTTATTTGAAAATTTTTGTTTCTTCAATATGTGAGACACACAGAATTCCTTAACAACATCCCAAAAACTATTTAAAATTATCTAAACTAGAATCTGTATACTGCTGTCGTCACATAAATTCATAAATGACCGTGATAATCCAAGGGGTACCATAAAATGCAGACTAACCCATCCTTGATGCTTATCCTCCTTGATGCTTTGAGAAATGCAGTGAGATGGGGTCCTTCAGTCCTGCTACATTCCATGGTAAAAACATTTAACCCCTTAACTGCTGCGGGCATATATATGTCTTGCTCAGCCGATGTATTAACTGCCCCGGGTGTATATGTACGCCCTACCAAACTACTATCATTTGCTTTGCGCTGCTACCCGTAAAATAATTCGCAAAGCTTTGGAATGCAACACCACAATGACCTTGACAAAGTATGCAAAGGGCGATACTATTTCAGAGAAGTGTGGGGAGAAATTGGAGAAAGGTGTGTGTCTAAAGCGGTGAGAGTAATGACTGCACGGTATTGGCTGGTGTTGTTTGAGTAAAATGTATTTTTTTTTATTCTGTGTCCTCCGTTTTCGTTTACTTTTTGTAGTAGGTTCCAGGAATAAAGAAGACATAACGGATGTTTCAAACCCATTTATCTTTTTGGAATTATTTTTTGATGAACTGCTCATGCTTCATATTGTTACTGAAACTAACCGTTTTGTAGATGAGTACATGAACCAACACCTTGCAAATGAAAAATCAAGAACAAAATTGTGGCATTCAACCAGTTCAGAAGAAATGTATGTTTTTTTAGGCATATTGATTTCACAAGGTATAATGCTGAAACCTGATATTACACTTTACTGGTGTAAAAATGAATTGATCGAAACTCCATTTTAGGGATCTTTTTTATTATAAAAACATCATTTTTATTATACTTACATCTTTTTATTATACTTTTACTCAAAACATTAAATTTTGTGCATTCATTTTTTTCTTTTATTCTTTATTTTGTGAAAGTAAACAGTTTTTAGAAAGTAAAACTTGCACTTGTTTTTCCCCCAATAACTATGCGCGCCTGTGTGGAAAACCGTGGCACTGGGAAATGAATCTTGTACGTTTTCCGCTGCAGTTAAGAGGTTAAAACTGTATTCTCATAGTTACAAATTATAGAGACTTCAGTCTGAAAAATGTAATAGGATTAAATAGATTGTAACACAAGAGAGTTCATATGCCTTTGTGGAGGACTTTCCAAGGGAAAAAGGATCTTAGTCATGTCAAACAGTGTTCGGCAATTTTAACACTCGGTCACTGCTAGACCCAGGTAATAGAAAATGAATGATTCATTGAAATATAGGGACGAATTATTATAGTACTTGAAGTGGTATTGTATTTCTTTTCTTATCTCTGATCTAGTTTTTAATATACATGGAGAGAGCTAAAAGTCACCCAAGTTTGATGCTTTTTAAGGTCCATCGTATCAACTAATGCGAGTTCAGAAATCGTATTGCCATTATTACAGTTATTATGCTTTAGAATAGATTCTTGACTCATTTCTGGTTTATTGCATTTTTCCTTGAATCTTGATGAACACTTGATGACTACTTCTGGCTTGTTTAGACCCCAGCTCATTTCAAAGTTATTCATTAGGAATAAGGCTAAGTTTTGGATTGGCTAGATGTGCTTATCCAGTTGCATGTCTTCTGATCATGAAATCAAGGAACAAAAAATACTTTTTGCTGCATCAGAGATGCAGTCGTTGTTCAGAATACCTGATTTTTAAAAATCCAGACTTAGAAGAAAAATTAGAGCTGAATAAACAACACCAGATCATTTTGCTTTCACCGTCAAAGATTTGTTAGTGTAAAGCACTTCTGCAGATGCTTCCTGCAACCAAACATGTGCATCAGAATTTTACAATGATAGTCACAATGATATATTGTGACTCTCTAGCAATCTTGTTCATTCTTCTGCATCCCAGATTTCAAATGATACTGAGTATGAGACTTCTGCATTCCAAATGATACTGAGTATGAGATACATTCCACAAATAAAGAAGAAGAATAACCTTGTTTGTCTACATCAGCCACTCGTAAGTTACGTGATATCTGGGGTCATCAGAATGTATCTCATTATGTAATTTATCTTTGTAGCTGTGGTAACGCCATGAAAATCAAGTGTATTTATTCATTTATTAGTGAATAATCCATTTCTTGACTTTCATTCATGAGATACATTGGAAGTTACTTTTATCTCATGAAGTTTCATTCATGAAATAAAGTAATGCTCTGAGCATTGCTATGCTGTATTAATTGCATATTGGTTGATAATTTTATTTGAATTTCATTATTGGTTGATAATTTTATTTATTTTGTTTGATAATGATTGATAATTTTTATTTCAACTTCCTAGCCCTATAAGGACAGTTATTTGATGCTTCATCCATTTCGCCTTGCCAGTGGTCTAGTGGTTAAGACTGCTGAATGCTGGTAGTTCATCCTAGGTTCAAACCTAAGATAGTGGACTGACTGCAAGGCTGGTTTTAAGGATTTTCTCCATGTATAATGGAAATATGGGCCAGTTTTCCTTAGAAAATTTGCCACAAAGGTATCCCTGTCCTATGGCAGATAGCTCTCATGAGATTTGCCATGTTTCAACAGCCAACTGACGACCTTGCTTCCCCTATTTCATGATAACATAGAACAGTTAAACACAGGGTACAGAATTCTCTTTAAATATTGTAATTTGGGATGTCAGATATGCTATGTCCAGGTAGATTCATCTCTTATTCGCTTAACGGGACAGTAAGGTAATACGTATCCATACTGTGTTGCAGAATGATATTTCTAGTCCACTAGTTTATGAGTCGTGATATATTTTTGCATTTTCCACACTTTTCTACAATTTAGATATATTTGTTCACTATTGCTAATGGTTGTTCCAGTGAGACAGAAAAATATTAGTAAATTCAATTCATAAAAAACTATGAGTTTGCATTATGCATTTTTTAAATGAAATACTTAATAAAACTGATTATGTAGAATACCAATTAATTAATGTAAGTTGTATTTTGTATGTATATATTCCGAATACCTACTAAAATTGACTATTAGTGTTGCATCTCTTTTAAAATTTGGAGCAGAAGAGAAAAATTAATTTTATGTGTAATACTGAACTGTGTTCCCACAAGATAAATGCCTAGATTCAGTTTTTTTTTTTTTTCATGAATTTAAATGGAATATTTAATAATTTGAAAATAATTAGTATTATTCTGTCATGTAGCAGAACAGTTGCTACTCCGTCATTAACTTGATCCGTTAAGTAATTGAAGCCTTATGAATTTATGGGAACTGCAGAAGTAAACTTAATTCAAAGTTATGTGAATGTTTTTTTTAATAATCGAATGAATCTATTTTGTTTTTAATAATAGAATCGAAATACCGATTGAAATATTCAGTGAACTGTGATAGTCTTGTAAACCCTTAATAAGTAGGCTTACCATTAGCATCAAAGTTTGGTGTAACTTTTGGCTGCTGGTTTGCTGATAATCTATACTATGTACGTCAGGGTATTAATTTTGAATGAAAATTTCTAGAATTTCTTCATTTTATGAATTAGATTCGCTGCTTTGATAGTAAGAAATTGAGATCATCCACTGTATTATCGTTGTCAGCAAAAGTGTTCATGCAGTCTAAAAAAGAACAAAAATGCTATATTTTTTACATTTTTCAAAAACATGTTATTGACCTGACTTATTATTATTACTCATACGATAAATGCTTGCATTTCAAAAATCATCTTCAATCAGATTCACCGTTTGGGGGTAAGAAATTGGGATCACCCACTGTATTATTGTTGACTTCAAATATGTTTGTGGAATCTAAAAAAAAAAAAAATTAGAACTATGTATTTATTTACGTATTTAAACTCATAGTTTTACTTGATTTATTATTAGTATTATTTATACGATAAATTACCTGAATTTTGTAAATCCTCTTTTGTGTTGCCTTCATTTTCGAAATAAGGTAGTGCAAAATAAAGCTCTACAGCATCATTGGTGGTTAATCTTGTCTTTTTTTCCAATGGGTTTACCTAAACTAATGTTTCATTACATTTAATTAGTTACTTAAAATTTGAAATCACTTGAACATACTGACCAAAATATTACCTTTATAGCATTCTAGCTAATGTAACATTTTAATTCTAATTTCTAAATATATAAATATTTATATAAGCCTAAATAAATGTAAAATATTTTCCATTATATTAAAAATAATTAATATTAGAAATAATAATAATTGAAATGTATATAAAAATGTATTAAGATAAATATATGTACAAATAAATCAAGTACCTTGCCGAACAAAGTGCTATTTCTAAAATGAAACATTTTAGTAAAACTGTGGTTTGATGACGCAGTGGTAAATTATTTTACCACCTCTAAAATCACTAAGTATGCTGTGCTAAATATTTTACCACCAAATGCAAATATGTATAAAACAAAATATTTTGCTATAATCTTTTAAACACATAATAAAATTTAGCTATCATACATTTAAGGTACAAAATATATGAATGCATAGCTTTTAATGTATTAATACACAACAAGATAAAAAAATATATGTGTATAAGATAAAAAAATATGAAAGCGAACTTCTAAATTTAATTCACTATAACCTCTTTTATTTTTATTTCATCTGGGAACTTCATTTCTCTGTCTTAGAAATAGCGCTGTAAATCTAAACTGCATCATTCAAATTAATCATGCGATTTTACGCATCCCTCAATGCAGATGCCTCTTGACCAATCACCAAATTGTAAACCAAAACTTAAAACTGAAACTGTTTGACTCCCTCCGCTCTTTCTCTGCATTACTACTGCGACACTCTTTCTCTTTTCGCTTAAGCTTTCATGCTGTTCAGACCGCTGCTGCAATCACTCTTTTATTGGCATAGTATCAAAATTGTAAATTTTCTTTAATAGGTATGAGTAGAGTGCCAAGTGATTGTGGCCACAAGTGAATTTAAATAAATAATGAAATTTAATTTGGCTCGACTGTTTCTTCTTCAAAATGGATGGACACTCTAAGCATCAATTATCTTCGAAATCAGCATTGCTGCATATCTACTTCCGAGTGTTCTTACATCAGTTCTTCCAAATTTGTGTATTCTTTCAAAATATGTGCTATCATTACACATATACATGCTTACCCTCTCTATTTTACTTGAAAACCAAATGAATGCAGAGGTTTACATGGCCGCTGCTGCCATCTATTGGCAAAAATTTGAAGCTGTGATTCTAGAGAAAAATTTCTGATATCAGGTGCTGGTAAATAATTTTCGGTCTGGTGTTCTAAAACAAATTGCATAGTGGTAAGATATTTAGCACCGTATGTAAAAGGGTTCGAGAAATACTAGTTGAGGTGCTGTGGCTTCACTATCTGTGCACTTAAAGGTTAATTGGCTCATTATTTTCTTTTTTTTATAGCTTGAAGATGTTAATTATGCTCAAGAATGTATTCCAAAAGCTGCAACTCTGAGATAAACCAAAAAAGTTTCAAGAAGAAATTTAATAAGGAAGAAAGGCAGTTCAGTATATTAAAGACAGTAAGTAATATTGTGATCAAAAATGTACTGAATTAGTTTCTCACTTCTTGAATTTTTTTTTTTTTTTTTTTAATTGCAGCTCCAGAAAAGGGTATTAAAAGGATTATGAAACAAACAAATTAAACTGTGTTACTAGTGGTCACAACATATTAGCAATAAAATTTTTAATTAACATGTTTAAATTATAAATTGATTGTGGTGCTGAATATTAACTTGCATTAAAATATGTTGTTCAATATTCCTTTTATGATGCAAAGAATATTGGGATGATTTATGCATATAATTCACCCACTGATCTTAGACTTCTTGTTGAAACATGCCAGAAATGTTTGATTCTTATTTTAGGAAAGAAGGAAATGTTCCGAAATTTCTCTATTATTTACATGAGAAAAGAAATTTTGGAACATTTATTTCTTTAGTTCTCCTCAGAAAGAAAGACAGAACATTTTCAGTAAATAATGACATTCTTTATTATTTACTGGAAATGTTCAGATTTTTTTTTTTTTTAGGATTGCTGCATGCTATTTAATATTTAAAAAATGAGAATTGCATACCAAAGTATGTACTGAAGTATGAAGCAAACTAACACATCTCTGCAAAACTGGCTACTCTTTTTTTTTTTCCTATGCACAGATGCATTACAGGGATCAGCTTAACATGGGCAGACTGTTTTTAACCAAGCATTAAACCAAGGTATCCACAGATCTCCTGTGTGAAATTCACAATTATAGCGAAAACTCACAGATGTCGGGCGTGATTACATAATTATCTGTTTATGTGAAAACTAATGGCTGTTGCATAAGATTCTCTACAGAAGTTGACAGTAGAAGTTACATAGAATCAAAGCTTCTGGGTTGATATACTTCTTAAGAAAAAATTTTAATACTTTATTTATTAGTATTTCTTACTACATCGTTGTTTCACAATTCAATAGAAAGAATGGAAGTAAAGAAAAGAAAGAAATTAGTGATCTTATTTTTAAATTTAAAGAAATAATTGATTCTATATTTTATTATTATTATTATTTTAATATAAGTTTAAACACTTTTAAATAATATCATTAAAGACTTTAAAGTTGATAGAACAAGAATGGTTTATTAATCAAATTATACTTTTTATACAAGTTTTTTTTTTTTTTTTTTTTCTTCCCTAGAATAAGAGCAAACGATTTCAGAAAATACTTATTTTAAATGAATTAATTTAACCCTCTCAGTGTTGGAAAATTCCAACTAGAACAGTGGCTTTCGTATTTATCACGCATGAAATTTTCTGCCAGCATTTAACATATCCGATTGCAGGTTGGATGTACACTGGAAGAAAGGGAATCAAGGTACAAAGTGAGAGTGTCATTTTTTAATTATGATCAAGAAAATACTATTTATTCACAACGTTTTGAGAAACTTTAAAATTTTAAGGCTAAACCCATAACGCTCAGAGGATTAAAATGTTAAATAGATTGGTCCAAAATAGAAGAAATGATAGTTTCAGTAAAAATATTTGCTCGAAAATGAATATATGACACCGGAAAATGAACTATTAGATGAAATATCATATTTGAGAAATCATGAAAAATTGAATAATGGAATAGGACGAAATACCTACCAATAAGTGTTGCATTTAAATTTTATTTCCCTGAAAATTATGTTCCTTATGTGCATCCTATAAAAGTTATAGAATTCACTTTCAAAGAACTTTGTTTATCTAATACCAAAGCAGCTACTGAAAGAGTGTTTCTATTATAAATAATTTGTTGGCAGCAGAAAATTCCCAGTTGAATGTTGATGCAATGATACCATGAAGGCAATTATTGTAACTTCAAATGCAATACCTGCGAAGAGTTCAAAGAACAAATTGAAAACTACAAGTACCAACTTAAAAAGGTTCATTTCATTTTAAAGTACAACTAATCATTTGTATGAATTATTTATACTTTAATTTTTTTACTGTATTTGTATGTTTAATTTTTATTTATTTACTTTTAAAATATTGTTTTGATAAAGAGAATGAATGCCCCAGAATGGCCTGTGAAGCAAATAGTCACCCTAATTTTATCAGATTTTGATAAAGCAAAGAGTGGCAGTAGAGCACATAGAAAAGTTATTCATACTGTATGATAAACAGACTGGTTTAAATCATAGCTTTGCTCAGTGTTTGTGATGTTGCCTGAAAAGAATATCAACATCAACATAAGTGTTATTAAAAATATATAAAACAATTTTCTTTTTTTCCATACCATAATTAGCACAGATAAATGAAATGTTAATGTATTTTAATCATCATTTTTGAATGGAACTCTGGTTTCATACTGTTTGTGCTTCTGATTTTCATATACTTAATGATTTATAAAGGTTATAAATAAAATTTTAACTGTATAAATATTCTTAGTGAAATTAATCTTAAATTTATTATTTTTTTTTATTTCAGAATCTGGCATGGTGCTGCTTTTAATAATCGAAGAAACTATGGTAAGTAATTATTTTAATATATATATATTATAATTCAAAATAAAGTAATTAAAAGTAAATTAAAAAGCCTAGACTTGCACTTAAGCTGCAAAGTAATAAACCATAATTCATATAATTTATAATAAGAAAACTTCCATTTACCATCTCCAAAGAAGACAAATTCAATTTAAAACCATGAATGAAAAAAAAATTTAGTCAGAATTTAAATTAGTATTTAAAAAATAGTAATTTCAATTTTTTGTTCAAAAACATAAAAATCTGCAAAGAAAAATCTTAAATCTCAAAAATACCAAAAGTAAATATTTTAAGTATTTAAAAAGTAGCTATTGCCATTAATCACAGTTTAATCGACTTATCAAGCGGATAAACCAATCTACCATCAATTAACAACAACTAAATTAGTAGAGAGTGTTTCATCTTACTTGGGAAAGTAAGCATCAAATTATTTGCTAGATCTAAACCATAAGTAACAATTAATACTCAAACCAAATAAAGGTAGTCCATTTAAGCCAAAAGAATCTTGTTAAACAAAATAGCAAATAATCTTGAAATTAAAGTTTCTCATTAAGAACACAATTAATCTGAAAGAGATGCTTACTTTAGAAGACATACCCCTACACTCTCTCTCTATATATAACTTAGACGAAGCACACAGATATAAAAAGTATGACTTAAAGTTTGTCAGACTTTATCATAAGTGATCATTTTTAGAAGTCCAGAGGCACTGTGTTATTATCACCACTGGTTGTTTTGGGACCTGACAGGTTTTGTGATGTTGTAAACCAGTCCTTATGGCTCAACTGGAAAATATTGGCAATGTTTCCCAATAGAGGGCACCTATGAAGGTTGCTGTTCATGTCTGAGTTTAAAATTCGGGAGCATAGGGACCATAAATTTATTGCTAAACCGATTTCATCAAAAACAAGCTGTCTGTGATGTGAGAAATTTGGGCAATATCATTCCTGCACAGTGAGCCCGTTGCCTCGGATGTTTCAGTTACCTAAAGTGAATGAAATATTTTAACTTCTCATTTAGAAATTTTCAAAAAATAAGCCCCTTATATTTCTGAAGCTAAGATGATAATTGAATCATAAAAAAGGTCCCCTAAATCTGAGGTTGTCTTATAGAGCAGTTACATAAAAAAATTAAATTGAAATTTATATAAATTTAAATCATTATAAAATAAAACATATTGCTTAATGTATCTAAAATCCTGCAAAATCTTGACATTCATCTCCTGAAGTACATCCTCACTTTTGTTGTTGATATATGGGTATGGAGTATTCGCTTGCTTACAGAATGGATCCATCATATGAACCCCATTCTGTAAGTAATGAGTTGATTTCTGCTTTGTCATCAGTATCGATAACAAATCGTCCTCAGTGTCATTAGCGTTAGAAATCCCACACTTTTTGAAGGATTTGATCACTGCTTCCACTTTCACCTTCCCCCCCCCCATCATTTGATCACAAAATCATGCAGCACATAGAGTGATGCAGCCCACATAACTCCCTTTGGTGTATCATTTATCACCACTCATCATCCAGTTATTCCATTGCTCATGCATGTGATCTTTCATGGTTTATTCAGAGAGACATCTAAAGGTTGTAGCATCGAAGCAAAATTTTTTTAGTGTTCTCAGTTTGTGAGACATGTCATGCGCAAACCATATTGATTTCATAGAGCAGCTGGTGCCTGTGTCACACATTTTTCATCCATAATTTTATATCATTCTCCATACACCCTTTTTCATGAAAATGCATGATAGGAATTTTATTCTAGGAAAACTTTCCTCTTGAAATTAATCATGGGTTTTAACTTTGTTCCATCTGCCATGCTTGTCACTACTACTGTAAACTTGGTCTTTTCATAGCATGCTGTACTCCTGACTTGAATAGATTTTATGCCAGAGTTCTTTTGTTTATATAGTTGAAATTATTCGTATTTCATCCATATTTCCAATATTAGATAACTGAAAGTTATATTTTTTTACATACCAATAACAAAACTTGTGATTTTGTGGTCAAGATCTTATGGTAATTTCTGAACAAATTTTGTTTTCTCTTGTACTACTAGATATTTTCTGTCCATGAAATGATTGCTTTAAATTCTCTGCCTTCTTCTGGACTGGCACGTGCCTACTCCAATTTATATGCCTTAATCATATTTCATGTAACAACATAATAAAGCCCTCCTGCAGCACAGTTAGATTTTTTAGCCTGTTTTATGACTTTTCCTTCTTTTCATTGGTTCTTATAGTACAAATTGTTGTCTGTTGGTAATTATACTATAAATAATTTGAACATGTGACACAGCCTACAACAAAACTCGTTAAAGGTATATGACCATTGAACTGTGGTGCTTAACCACCAGGGTGCCTGGGCACCATAGCCCTACTCCTCATCGAATAACATGATAAAAGTTTCGAATTATGAGTGTGCTAAATAATTAAATGAGTAAGAGTTTAAATTTATAATTGCTAATGGTTAAATACATATTTTTTTCCTTAAGTACCTAATTACTAACCCATACATAATTAACTATTTTTTTAACAACTATTTCACAGAAGAAAACATGTACACACAAGAGAAACAAAATACGAAGTGAGTTCATAATTCGGACCTACTTCTGTCGACAGTGCTGCCAGATGCAAGAAAATAAAACTGTTCCAGATGATGATTGTTGATCTAAACTGAAATCATATGATAGTTTGGGGGTCGTCTTCTAGGACAGATATATGCCAAAATTATAAAACTAACACAAAATTTATACTTTGAATTATCTATGGAAATATATGATATGTGCTAATTGAAAATACATGTTTCTATGGATGTGGATAATGTTCTTGTCAAAAAAAAATTAATAATAATAATAATAATGAACTGATTGGGAAAGAAATAAACTGGAGGGAGATTAGTTTCAAAATTCACCACTGGAGAAGTGCATCACTGCTTTATTCAAAATTTGATATTAAATTATAGTGTTGATTCACATCGTCGAGAGAGCAAAACATGTTCAGCAGGATGACCAGCACTGTCAGCTACCATCTGAAACCTTTAAATTGTATATTCAACCATCAAATACAATGCTCATGTGATGAGATGTGTTTTCTTTCAGATCTAGCAAAGATACTATTTCTGACAAGACATAACTTTCAGATAGCTCCAAGGCCAAAAATCACAGGAGACCTAATCTATGAGTGCTGATTGAATGCATTTACAAGGTGGTGATTCTAGCATTTAAGAAGTGACAATTGAGCGGTGTTTTAATAAAAAAAAATGGCTTTTGAACAGCTGTTTGGTAGCATTTAAGTTGTACTTGCATTTAGGAAAATTTTACACTCAATATCAAAACTAAAATACAAAAAGTTTGGCTTCAGTACAATAGGTGCTGAATTTCAAATTTTGGATATTTGACATTTTCAGCTTGTCTCGAGGGATCGGTTGATAAATACATTAGAATAATTCGAGGTTCATTTTTCACTCTTAAATGCCATCATTCAATAATATTCTTTTGTGATTGACTAATTTTTTAATTTATAAGCTTGTTACAACTGTTATGCCGGGAAAAATTTTTACATAAGTAAGTTTATAAGTTTTCAAATACTAAGTAATAATTATTAGTGTTAATAATGCTAAGTTTCATTCTTAAAGAATCATAATCTAATAGTCACAGAAAAAAATATCATTAACAAAAATATTTTTCATTTTTAAACTATAGATATAATGTTCGGAGATGACTGTGTTTGTAATGAAACTGTTTTCTAGAAAATAAGATTCTGTGAATAAGATCTCTTTTTAAAAAACTTTATATTAATCAATACTTTTTCAATAATCTGAATGGAAATGCTTGCCATTTAATAACATCAGACAAGTTTTTCTAAGCTCATATTTGTACACTATGTACAAAAATATTTTATATTTCAATCCCCTGAATACTATTTCCAACTTTCTGCAGTCAGTATGTACAAGAGTCGCACTTTTTGTATTTAAGTTTAAAAATTCCAAATATGAATTATTTATGTTATTTTTATAAGTGGTAGTATGTGTCTATGACCAACAATCGTAGAAGTAAATGGCAGGTAAGAACTTCTACAGAAACATTTTGTAAATTAGCATGTGCAGTATAAAAGGAAATGACAACTAATAGTAAAAGAGTTCAGCTAACTGAAGAATTAGATGACACATATGGTTAGAATGGAATGCCTTCCTGAGTGTCCTCACACACTAAGTAAGTCCAATTTGCATTATTGATTAATTAAATAAGCAGGGGTTGAAATAAATCTTTAGCACCTTTATGAAAAATGCTGGATTGACATAAAGGTCGTCGCTGTCAACCAGAGCAATTTCAGGTGGTATTTCTTGGAAGGGGACTCGGTTACTTATTGGCCCGAATAAAAGCCACACATTTATCCAAATTTAGACGGCAAAAAATAAGGATGCATCTTATACTTGCAACTGTCTAAAATTGTTACATTTTGTATGCAGTTCCATATTCGCTGTGACAGTAGTAATAGCAGAGAATAAGCAAATTTCATTGCCTAATAAGTTCCAGTAGTTAACAGAAAGCAACTAAAGTATGGCACACAGTTGTCTAGATTTAGATAAATTAAATTTTTTAATAACGATAGTGTATTTATGATAAAATACTAGTATGTATATACCTATTGGTAATTTCCCGATAGATAATTAACAGTAATATCTTTTCTACTCCCTCGAATTTCAGGCTGTGGCTTATGTTCGGGCCAATAAGGTATTTCAATAAATTAAATCTTATTTTTACATAAATAATAAACTGTTACATAGGTAAGAGGTACAAATACTGCATGTAATGTTTTAAATTTTCTTCTTTGGGTGTTGAATGAATATAGATTGTAAATTTATTACAATGTTTTATACCAAAATCTTCAGTACTTTGTCAAATGTACAATTTTTTATACATTATCTGTAATGATCTAAAATATCCTTTGTGTCTCAATGAGAGAGAAACACTCGAGAATTTTATTTTTGTTATTTCTTAGGGAGAAAAAGTGAAGACGTGGAGGGGACTTTCACACTTTTTGCAAAATGCGATCTCTAAAAGTTGTATCGTAATACAACTGTGTATTTTCCTCAGAATTAATTGCTCAGAGTGTTAACCAGTCACAAGAGGAGTTTTGTACTAAAAAATTAAGAATTGCCTAAGACCTACAAATGAGTTCATTAATAAAATCTTATTATACCGTAGAGAACGACAAGGTAATGCCAGATTTCAATTACCCCGTCGATTGTTTTGCCAACACTAAAACATTATAAATAGCATCCCGGAATATTGGAATCAAACAAAAGGTTTTAATTTAGTTCCTTGTACATTGTTTTGATGTTTAACAGCAATTTTGGTGTGTAGCGAGAAAGGCAGCAATCTTAAACCGCTCAAATAGAAAAAGCTCTATTTATGTCAGCGGTTTTACTGGTTCCTCATTTCAGGCCTGACTTGGTAAGAGTGATGTAATTAATTGTTTCGAGAACGATCACATCAATATTACTAAGGCTGTTACTAGAAAATATTAACAATTAATGCATTAAGCATGCTGTTGAATGTCTAGATATTTATCATTCATATATGCTTTTGTGAAATCAAAAATATTTTTTGTTTCAAATCGAATTTAGGTTAAGATTTTCTCACTCGGTGGTTGCATCACGAATCGGGGATTCCATGACCGTAAAACACCCTTGCGAAACATTTCATAAGCCCAAATTTCCAAATGAAGAAGCAGTAACATTAATTTATATGGGGGAAATCTACAGACAATCTCTCTTAAAATTTAAGATTGCAGTAAAAGAAATAACGATATAGATATAAAAATAAAGTACAGTATCCATATTTACGAAACTTCAGTTTTACGGAAGACCAATTTAACATGAAGCTCCAAAGAATATTTTCACATTTACAAAAAGAAAAGGTAAAAAGTAAATGTATGCTATGCTTCGGCTTTTGTCTGGTGCTGTTCGTGAGCAAAAGTACAATTAATTGTGACATAGTATATAGGTTTAAGTAAGTTTTGGGAAATAATTTGATTGCCTAACAAGAGTGATACAGAAAGAAAAAATGTTAGCAGTGAATGCTAGTCTTCACTGCTAACATTTTTTACTTCAAGCCTTTTGGTGCTGCCAAAGCACAAGTGATGCAAAAACAGAAAATATAGACACAGTGATCTAATGGATCCAAACTTCCGATGCTCAATCTCTGACAACTCAACACTGTCGTTACTACAGCACTTGCAACTTTTGGTGTGCTAGCTTTCTTTTCGGTATTGGAAGATAAAACTACACCTTGCACAGTTATTATAATTTGTATTCATGATACTTTTACATTTTAAAATTAATTTAATGAGAAAATTTCTGCATAAGCTAAGTTTCAAGAGTGCACAAAATGATAAATTTCTAGACATTCACACTCATAGAACTGTTGGATATGTTGATGATGACGGTGACTCGGCTCGAAATGGGGAACTGTCTACTTTGGTAAAACCTATGACCTTTTTTCGACCTGGGGCGTTTTCAGTTTGCTGTCACTATAATATATAGCTAAACACATCAAAATGACGTATTAAGGAAATAAAACATTATGCTTAGTTCCAATATTATGAATGCTATTTAGTCTCGGCAAAGTCATTGATGAGGTTGTCGAAATCTTGCATTACATTTTTGCAAGCTGTTTTATGGTAAAATTTCATTAATGCAACACATTTAATAGATCTTGGGTAATTCTTAATAACTTTTTATTTACAAAACTACTCAGAGTAATTCTGAGGAAAATTCGGTTATATTACGAAATGACTTCTACGGATTGCATTTTACAATGAAATGTGAAAGTTCCCTCCATGTCTTTACTTTTTCCCACAGAATAACATAAATAAAATTCTGAAGTCTACCTTTCAATCAAAAACAAGGATGTTTTAGATCATTACAAAGAATGTATAAAAAATTTAACATTTGACAAAGTATAGGTATAAAACATAGCAATAAATTTTACAGTCTATATTCACTCAAAATCCAAAGAAGAAATATATGCAGTGCACCTCTTGTGCTGTGTAGCAGTTTGTTATTTTGTGAAAATAAGGTTTCATTTATTGAAATGACCGAGTCCCCTTTCGAGAAGCCCGACTGGACGAATTGTTCTGGTTGACAAAAATTAAAACAGTTCAGAGGGTGGTACTAATCCAGGATTATACATAAAGGTGCCAAAGATTTATTCGAACTGCGAGTGAATAATGAGCAACCACCGAGGGATTACATATCCCCTTGTAAAAGGTGTTTCACTAAAACGTGTCTAAGGGTTTTTTTCTCTTGTTTGTTTTCTGTAGTACTTCTGAGAACCGATTTCCCTTATGCAAATGTGGCAGTTTCTATCTCTGACTCTTTCATGCCATGGTTTCTTGATGATTTCGGCTGTGTTCCATTCAATATCGAGTTTGGATACTCCAGGGAGTATTTAACGCGAGATGTTCTATTTTTGTTGTCGGCAGAGAATTGTAAATATCTTGCTGATAATTTTCTCAATGTAGAACTGATATATTGAGTTTTTGTGTTTGTGTCTTCATTACAGATATGAATAGTATACATACCTGAAATATCTGTTGTGGTAGCATCTGATTTGCGCGTTCTTAACAATTTCCAGATGAACGAGACTGGGGTTTTGGTGAGTTTATAACCAAATCTTTAAGAAATGGAACCGATGCATGAGGCAGATGAACGTTCCAATGAAATAATTTTCATTTGATTCTTCTCTCGGTAGCAACTTTACTTTTCAGAAATAACTGCAGAAGCTTATCTATTGATTTTCCTGTTGTACAGGTTTCCATCTTGGTGAAATCAATTGAGTTTTCCCGCAAAATTGGGAAGGTTGCAGTTTGTAATATGTACTTATATTTGTTTTCGCAAAGTTCGGGTGTAGAACAGAATTCGTTTGCTCCTTTTGAGGAAAATGAAAATTGGCTGGGCGAGCTGATTTAAGATACACAAATTTAAGTACACTGAAAAATGCTGCCATTTTTTAAAATCACATCAAGAAATAGAATGTTATTTATTAACTTCTCAGTTAATTGTAAACTGGTTGGGAAAGACTGCTTTCAATTTTTACTTAAAATGAGTAAAGTCTGTTCTACACCCAAGTTTTATGAAAACGGATATAAATACTTACAAACTTCAAGACATTACACTATATGATCAAAAGTATCCAGACACTTATATTCTTGTTTTTCCCACAGATAAGCAAAAAAGTAATATGATGTCGGGCCACCTTTTGCTGCAGTAACACGTGCCAGTTGCCGCAGAAAGCTGTCTACTAGTTTTTGGAGTGTTTCAGCAAAAATTGCATGCCATTCCTGTAGAAAAACAGTGGTGAATGCCATCACAGACTTGGGACGATGTAGACATTGGAGTTCACATTCTAATGCATCTGATAAGTGTTCAGTGGGATTCAAGTCTGGGCTTTGAGCAAGATGGTCCAATTTCTAAACTCCCATGTTTCCAGGCCACCTCTGCACTAGCCATGTAGTATGGCCAGGAGCATGATCGTGTTGGAATGAGAATAATCCATTCCGAACTTTTGCCACAATGCAGGTAATGAGGAATTTCCTTATAGGTTTCTTTCCTGAGAGTGCCATTATGCTTGTACCTTCAAATTTCACTTGCAAATACAGTACAGTCAGATACAAAATGTTCACCAGGCACAATCTCCACAAATCCAAAATCGTTTAGCTCAAGTTTTCCTGCTATTGTACTTTTCCAAGATTTGAAATAAAGATTGCAGGCTTGTCTGGCTTCTTTTATACTTGCTGGTAGCTAGAAGCTCAATCTCACTGTCAGATCACTATTACGACGGGTGTCTAAATACTTTTGATCGCATAGTATAAATACACTCCCAATTTTATTGGAAAACTTGACAAGCTTCCACAGTTTTTTTTTAAAGTAAAGTTACTATTAATGAATCAAATAGAGTAAATTCATTGAAACACTCTCTCACTATTTCATCCCCCCACACATCTGCTACATTTTTAAGATTTGGTTATAAACTCACCATAGCCCCAGTCTCATTCATCTGGAAGAACAGGCAAATCAGATGCCACTAAAACAGATACTCAGGTGTGTATATTATTCGTATCCACAATAAAGACACAAACACAAAAATTCATTATATCAGTTTCACATCTAAGAAAATTATCATTAGAAAATGTAATGCATTAAAAAAAGATATTTACAAGTTCTCTGCCAATCAGGGCATCAACAAAAATAGAACATCTTTGTTTAAATACCATATTTCCTCATATATCCCCCATTCTTTCACTAATTTTATCATTTGAAAATCAAGAGGGAAAATTATGCGAATAATTTAATTTTTTAAGACAAACCAGTTTCGGTAAGTACATAGCAAATGAAAAGTAGTCACTTCAGTCGATTTGATTTTAAAATATAGGAAAGATTCTTTCCTCAATGCACTTTAGAAAGCAAAAAAACTGCAAGAATATATTTTTTTTTAAATTTCAGGAATCTGGTGTTAAAAGCTGAGGGGCATATGCGAGGAAATACAGTACTCCCTGGAGCATCCAAACTCAATTATTGAATGGCCAAAGTCAAAATCATCAATAAACTATGACATGAATGTAGCCTTAAAAATGATAGAGGTATTAGAAATTGCCACTAGATCATATTGCATAAGAGACCTTTCAACTTACCAAGCATCTGGACATCGATTCAGAGAAGTACAGTTTTCAGAGAAGTTTTGGAAGAAAACTGGAAAGAGAGGAACTTGATCGAGCCATTCGTTCCAGCTCCAGCTGAATTCTTTCTCATCACTTCATCAACATGGATCAAAAAGTTGAAAACTTTAGCTTTCCTAACTGTAAAGAGCTTAACAGGTGAACTTTTATTATAAAATGTACAGTTAAAAACAAAAATGCTGATTTTATTAAAGCAAATTATATGTAGAAATTTTGTCTTACAAAATACATAACTAATGAAACTTTCATTTTTTTTCCAGCTGACTGATATGGCAGTTCGTTTACTATATATGTGAAGATTAAAAGAATCGCCGTATTTTCTTGAAGGACGGTTTGCAGCAGCCCAAATTCATTCTCAAGATATGTTTTCATGTATGTACATTTTGAGTTGGAATACCACCTGCATAAATACATTAATAACATTGAGCATAAAATACATTAAATTTCATTCATGTGTTATGATTTATAAACTCTTTTCTTATTATATACACAGAACATATACATTATGACAAAAAGCTAGGAACAAAGAATTAGTATCTAAATTCTCACTTACAACCAGGTTTCGTATTTCCTATTCCAAAAAAGTATTTGTTTTTTTCATTTCACAGAAACTGGAAGCATCACCCTAAAATAAAAATACATGAAAGATAAATGTCCATACCAATGGTACACACAAAAATAAAATGAATATAAAATTGGTCTTTCCAACGATAAATATTACAGATGATAAATAAATATTAAATCTTATTTCAAAAAAGAATTTAAAAAACAGATTGTTTTGTAGCAGTTAGACATAAAAACATCTTGAGTAAAAAATAATAATTATGTGGAGTATGACTGATATCTATTAACATTATTTATAATATAATTACAAATAAGAGATGACGTATTCTAGACAAAAACATCTTAATATCAGTTAAATACATAATTTAACTACTTTTTCCTTAATCCAGCACCTCACAAATAGTCCTAATCGCATCAGCATGCCTACATTATACTATTTCATGATAGGAAAAGACTACGTTAGGTTATTTTGTTATATACGGTTACTTGTTGAACTACTAGTATTCAATGGTCTTAGTCATTGATGGGGCAACAAAATAAGTTATTTGATATTGCAGAGGGGGGATACCATTACAAAATGCATTTATTTTTTATTGGATACATTATTAAACATATCTAATGTGGACACCACATGACTTCCATCTACAGACTATTAAATTATACACATTTCCTCAAAGTGCAACATTTTTTTCTACACTTTGCTTAAACTATTTCAAATTCAATCAATTCAGGTCTCACTTTGTGACAAGGCAGCAACACTTAAAACTCAAATTATCTTCATTAAAAATTGTAAAATACAGAAAACATGAAACACCAAATATAGTTTAAAAAAATTTTTTTACAATTTTTACAATTAAAATTAGAGTTTTCTAGGTCAAAACATGGAGTTCAGCCAACAGGCAGGAAGACCATATTTTCAATATAAAATTGAAAATCAACTTTTGGTCCCATGGGGCAAAAAGACACTGAAGTTGGTGCACAAACTGACTTAATTTACTATTCTACTAAGAGATTCAAATACAGTGGAACCTCAAGATACAAGTTTATTTCATTCTAGCATTGAGCTCGTATATCGAATTTCTTGTATTTAGAAACAAACTTTCTCATTGAAAATAATGGGAAACCAGTTAATACATTCCGGACCTCCCCCAAAAAAAATCAGCATAAAAATCAATTTTTTCTAATAAATAACACTGGTAAATAATATAACCGTAGTTTGCCTTTATGACAGCTTCCGACACCAACCTTTTAACTGCTTCTCATTAATCCATACCAACAACAGCTTCTCAACATCTAGGAGTTTTGGACAGTGCATGGAAGTAACTGTAACTCCTTTGGCCACATCAAGTTTCTTAATTTCTTTCTGCTTCTTCAGAATAGTGCAAATCGTCAATGTCAAAAGGCCACAAGATTTCACCAATTCCGTCACTCTTACACCACACTTATTTATAATTTCTTTATTTTTCTTTGCAGCACTCTCTGAGGCAACAATCTCCTTGGGAGGCATTGTGAAATAATTATTTTCACGTTAAATGTAATAAACAATTGACTCACAAGCACACAAACATGTAGATGAAATAATAGAGTGATCTCACGAGGGGATTCCCCGAGTCAAGCCTGATTGAGAAATGGCACCACGCATACCAGCAATCTGGCTCATTGCTCCTTACTCAAATCAATGCTCATATTTAGAGGCAAATTTTTTGCTCATACTTTCCTCTTATCTTGAATTTCTCGTATATAGAGGTGCTTGTAACTCGAGGTTCCACTGTATAAACAAATGGTGGCTCCGCACCATTTACACTTTTAAATTGTTAATAATGCTACAACTATTGCATGCAGATTAACTAAAGGCATAACAAGCTTAACCAAAATATAAGAACAACATAATTCAACACTTGTAAACTAAAAATGCAAAATTTACCAATACGTAGGAATCAAAATATTAAGCTTGGCGAACCAGATAACAAGATGGGAATATAAATGCTTGGTACAGCTAATTGCAATAAGAAAGGGAAGTGTGTAATTACATGTTATAACATTCCCATATAGAAAGTTTCAACATTTTACAGCTACTTGTATTTGAGTTATGCGAGGTACGTACATGTGTCACAAATCTCTTCTGAATCCATTTTAAATAAATTTTACTATCCGTTTTGGAGAAACGAGTCCTTCATTCTGTCCAAACATACATATGTTATGCAAAAAAATTCTTCTAATGAATTCAAGAATAGTCAAAATGGCTATTTTCGTCAAAATATGATACTCAAAATTTTTCGCAATTACAATACTTTCTTTACTTTGTAGGTAGAATGTAAAGTAGAATGATTGTAAGGTAGAATGATTTAAATTATTAAAAAGTGCTGTCACTTTTAATTGATCAGTTTGTTAATCAGGAGCAGAATGATTGAATTTGAATAATAAATTGAAGATCTTATGCTTGCCAAATAGCAACACCATGAGAATCAGCTTTGTGAGAAGGCTGTGTGAAAGATAATTAAAAAGTTTATTCCTTACACAGGAACACACTGATTTTCAATCAAATGCTTAATTAAAGCTCTGAAGCTTTTCCAATGGCACCTCGAGAGCCACTTGCTCGATGCCTGGAATATAAATTATGGCAGTTATATTTCATGTAGTGTTATTGCCAAGGTATTTCTACATTCTTCCTAGCGTCATTTCTAGAGTTTAACCACCTTTAATTCTTATGGTTAATAGTGAGTTTTATTGTCAATTACATGCACAGTTGCTATTGATATTACTGTTAACATATTTACCTAGCTCAGATTATTTATGGAAAGGATAACACTACCTGAAAAGTTGTTTAACTGAAAAAAATGAGTAGTGAAAAAATAAATCTAAATGAAACTACTTATAAAAAACACTTTTTTTTTTTTTTTTTTCATGCGTAACATGGACAGAAGCCATTTTCTCTTAGAGAGTCTAAATGAAAGTGTCTCTCCCCTTATGCAGATAGCCTGCTCGTGTTTCGTTGTAATCTAAATAAACCATTGAACTTTTAAGAATCTGTGATAATAATTTTCTTCCTTACATTTATTTTTCCTTCGACTCTTAGTGAACCATATCTTCTGACAAAAGCAATCAAGAATCTGCCAGTTTTACCGGAACAGTTGGTAGCAGTACAAGTATAGTTACTGCAACTTTATTTTCTTTTATCGAGTTATTGTATTCAGCAGACTACTCATAAAGTTTTTGGCCTGATTTTACCTCTTGATCTAAAATATAGCATAGCTCAACCTTCTTATTTTCTTTTCCTCAGTAATTAACCTGAATTTTTTTTTTTTTTCTTATACTGCAAAGCCACATACATCTACATAGTTGGGGCACTAGATGAAGCAACTACAAGCATAAATCTGTGATGATAATAATCTTTGAGAAGAGTTAAATAAGTTATGTGGAAGAAGCCTAGAAAGAAAAAATCAAATCAATGTAAAGAAATGAGACAGGAAAATCACAGTTAGGAGATATTTCTATCATGAAATTTATTAATTAAAGAACAAACCCCAGTACCATTAAATGACATATTTTGGGATAGAAAATAGTTTTTAAGAAGGAAGATTAGACTCAAGTATCTATTCACAGCAAAGTGTAATATTACTATTTGTGCAAAGGCAGTTGACTTTGTGGATGAGTTCTTATAAGGTTGGTTTTCTTCGGAACATACTGGAAAGAACCGAAAGTCAATAAAAAAAACTGGAAGAGATTAACAGTGATCCATCCGTTGAGATGATATACAGGATAAATCTACTAACAGCTTAACTTATTAGACAATAAATGTTTTCCAGATACAGCAATCAAATGCAGAAATTTCTCAAAAAAAATTGTGATAGAAGGTTATCAGTGAAAGCTGTGATAGCATTCTTATCCATTTACTTATGATGAAGGGAAGAGATTATGTTCTGGGTAACAAGAAACAGAAAGTGACTCCAGAAGAAGGGAGAATCGAACT